CACATTTGTGTGTGGCCACGTAATCAGCGCGCACGCACGTTCTGGAGTCAGATGATCCATGCCCACCAATGAATGTTAGGAAAGGGCTATAAAAGCCCATTTCTTTATTTCTTCTTTGCCCTGTCGTGGTTTCCACTTCTTTGGTTATCCGAGAGCGCATTTCGTATATTGTTATCCCGATTTTTGATCTTGGCTTGTTCTGACTATTCGTATTTCTGGTATCCCTGACCCTTTGTCTTTGTCTTCTCGTTCATGCTCCTGTCTGTGTCCCTGACTTCGGATTGTTTCTGACTATTCTTTCTACGTTAAATCCGACCATTTTAAGGCCCAGTAATAAGTTTTTCATGTTGACTTAATTCTGTTTTGTGGCGGAACCAGCCTCGCCACTGGGCATTGGAGAAGACTGATTGCCAGCCTCCTGCCATGTGACTATGGCCCCTGGGATGTATTGCCTGCTCTCCTGCACTGCTGAGGATTGCTACCAACTAGGTGGATTTGGCTATGGAGCTTGTGTAGTGCCCTCTGTTGGTAGCAACAGTAATATGCACTACCTGAATAGCAAGACTGGTAATTTGCATATTCAGGTAGATTTGCATATCGCTAATTCTGCATGCAGGAGAGACATTTTGTGTTAATTATGGTCTTCCCCACCCATTTATAAATATGTAATTATGTTATAATAAGTCACTGTATGTTGTCTGCTATGATTTGACTGTTTGTAATTTTATTGAGTTTTCACAGCAATGTTAATGTAATGACCATATGGGCTAGTCCCTTAATTAAAGTTTTAGACAGTTCTACTTCACCCTCAATTTGGAGTCCTGCCTCTTGTTGGGGGAACCTGCTACAATGGATTGCTATGCTCTGCATATTCCCTTGCTGTAATCACTCCTAAGCTCTTTTAAGAGCTCGTTCCTGCTTCGCTCTGAAGGAAGAGAGGTTCGGCCTATGGTGGTTGTGGTGTTGGCTGGAGTGCTTGGAATCCTCAAGCCAGTCGGGGTGCCAGGTGATTCGTTACATGTTTGTTGGGCCACAGCCCCTTCCTGACAGTGTGTCTGTTAGTAAGGGTGTTAATGTGTGTCTGTTAGTGAGAGTGTGTGTCTGTTAGTGAGTGTTAGTGTGTGTGTGTATCTGTCAGGATCATGATGAAAGTCCACAATAGGGGATGAAAAGTTGATCTTCTTTTAAATATTTCAATAAAAGTTACTTTTTAAGGAAATCTGAGAGTGCAGCCAACTATTTCAATTTCCTAGATACTGGAGCCCTGGTGATGCACCCGGTCACACAACTTTGAAGCCTGAGTGCAAGGTACAACAGCTTTTATTTATATATATATATATATATATATATATATATATATATATTATTGATACATTTCTTCTTCTAATTCAAAATATTAGTTCTTTCAGGGTAATTAAATTATACAGTAAAGCATACTCACACACAGACATAGACAATCTTACTGATGCACACAAATAGGCTCATTGACAGACAATCTCAATGACACACACAGACAAGGTTACTGGCACCCATACAAATTTAGTACCGTCAAACTCTAATATACACACAAGTTTACTACAGACAAGCTTACTGTCACACACGCTCACTAGAGACAAGCCCATTGACACACACATGCTCCCTACAGAGGAGCTCACTAACACACAGATTCACTACAGACAAGCTCACTGACACACATGCTCACTACAGACAAGCTCACTGACACACATGCTCACCACAGACAGGCTCCGACACACCGATGCTCCTTACAGACAAGCTCACTAACATGCACACACACATATGATCCCTACAGACAAGCTCACTGACACACATACAAGCTCACTCACTAGCAGGCACACACACACACACAAACTCACTAGCATGCGCACACACACAGAGGCTCTCTCACTAGCAGATGCACACACACAAATACATCCACACACACAGAGGCAGACAGTCACTGACACCGAGGCAAACATCCACACATACAGAGACAGGCAGACAGCCACACACACACAGACAGCCACACACTCACACTCACAGGCAGACAGTCAAACACACAGGCAGACAGTCAAACACTCACACACACACACACAGGCAGACAGTCACACACAAGCAGACAGCCCCCCCCCACACACACAGGCAGCCACACACACAGGCATACAGTCACACACACAGGCAGTCACACACACAGACAGTCACACACACAGGCAGACAGTCACACACACACACACACACACACAGCCAGTTACACACACGCAGACAGTCACACACACACAGACAGTCACACACAGACAGGCAGACCTGCTTCTTACCTCCACATCCCTTGGAGCTCCTGGAGACTGGTTGTTGGGGAAGCAGGGACCCCTTCCTGCTTCCCATGCAGCAGTTACCAGCACCCCCACCGCACGCTAGCTCCACCCCCGCGGCAATATATATATATATATATATATTTTTTTTTTTTAATGATCACGGCCGGCCATGTGTGAGCTGTGCGGGCTGCCTGGCTCCCCCTGCTCCCATGGGACCCTGTGCGGCCGCACAGCTCACACATGGCCGGCCGGAATTACAGGAGCCTGAGTAATGATAAGGGCTGTCAGCCCTGCCCCAGGTGCCCCGTCCCACCGGGAAATTATCCGGTATCCTGGTGGGCCAGTCCGGCCCTGTCTGTCAGTGAGTATATGTGTGTCAGTGTGTGTGTCTGACACTGAGTGAGTGAGTGTGTGTCTGTCAGTGAGTGTGTATGCATTTCTGTCAGTGAGTGTATCTGTTAGTGTGTTTGTCTGTCGGTGAATGTGTGTCTGTCAGTGAATATTTTGTCTAACTGTGAATGAGTGAGTGTGTATGTCTGTGGATGTGTATGTTTCAGTGAAAGTGTGTGTTGGTTAAACAGTGTGTGTGACAATGACTGTGTATCTGTCAGTGAGTGTATGTCAGTGCATGCATCAGTGAGGGTGTGTGTCTATCAGGAAGAGAAATTTGGAAGTAGGGGTGCCCAAGCTTTGTCATGCATAGGGCAGCACAAATCCAGAATACACCACTTTATACAGTTATAAACAGAGGGTTCATGTAGGGAGGAAAAAACTGGGACAATTGGCAGGAGAATGGAAGAGAGTATTTGAAATAAGGGTGTAAAGGAAAGAATTATAAATGGGTTGATAATTTATTTAAGTATGTAAGTAGAGTCGTGTAATATGCATTGCATAAGTTATTTATACAGCTCCACACTAATGTGCAGTAAGTATTATAAAACACTGCTGCAATAAGCAGTGTTTCAGTATTATGCAAGCCCACATTGATTTGGAGAATGCATGAATTTATCTCAGATACACTTCTGTCGTGCTCTCTCTTGCTCTCTGTCTCTCCCAACCTTAATCCAGTTCTGACATCAATTAAGTGATCTGGCTGCCGTGTTTTGCATGAACGGCAATGTTTACAATGCAGTGTTTAGATGACGTTAGTGGCTTTAACACTGACATCCATTGGAGGCACTTCCATAGGGACCATATAATTAGCGCGGTGTGGAGTTTTTCCATGCATGTACACTAGCCCCTCAATGCTTTCAGGTGGGAAAGCAATAGATTGGCTGAGATTATCAGAATTGATGATCTCAGCCAAGGAAGACAGAGCACTGCGTTGAGGGAGAAAAGTTAAGTAAAATAACTACTACTATAGCGTTAAGAATACATGTATGTATTGTATTTCTAACAGAATAGTGTTCCTTTAAGACAAAACCTGCCAATTCAGCAGAGCAATTGGCCTAGTTACACAATAAAATGAGTTTGGGATTATGTGTGTTTTTCCCTTTAAATTGATTATTTAGAATTGGAATGGATGTCATACATTTACTAGTCAGCAGAGGTCTCACTGCATTATTTTTTGTAAAAGCTCAGAGAATCACATTCATTAAGTAGAAAAACAGTTATCAGAATGTTGTGAATGTCAGAGCCTAGTAATCTTTAAGAATTGAAAACTGATCTTTGTAGATTCAACTGAATAAATCAACATATGAGCAGAACCTATACGTCATACTTTGATCATGATGGTTAGTCAGACCTTGTTACCAATTTTAGCAGACTTACAGTGTCACATGAGCAGAAATACTTAATTCCATAGTGAATATAGATTGACTCACAGTTCTTTGTATTTCTACTGTCCCTCATCCATACAATCTTGCATTTAATGACAGCAAACATTGTGTATGTATAACATAATGTATGGAATATTAAATCTAAAGTTCCCAGCACTGTCTTTTTTGTTTTATGTTACATTCTACCTACACTCCCAATACATTATCCTCCTGCAAAAACACATTATTAACCTTATACTCTGTTAGCCTGGTATCTCCCTTGGCATTTTATCATTGTGGAATATATACCACAATATTAGCAGTATCAATGATGTCCAAATTTGGAGGGCATTCATTGGCCAAGTGTTTTTTTTTAAATTCTTTATTTTGGTTGTGCTTTAATAGGTGTACATACTGGTAAAGACATGTCAGCAATTCCGTCAATATTTTACAGAAAGAGAAACGGATCATGTCAAAATCTTACAGCACATTTTATAATTTTAAAAAAAGAAACACTAAAATAAAAACAGTATAACTGATGTATCATGTATGATCATGGTCTAGAGAATGTCACAACTACCAGTGTGGTCCAACATGCAAAACTATGTAACATCTACATAGACTATAGAAGATAGACAGAACTAAACTGGTCCTTAGAATGGCCAGGTTAATACGTTGAAAGACAGAGAATGGTTAAGGGAAAGCCCAGGTCAAGGAAGCCAGAAATACACGAGATCGATAAGGAAAGCCAAGAGATAAGAGTAGTCAGGAATAGCCAGAGTCAAGATATCAGGAAGATCAAATAACAAGAACAAGGAAAACACACTCTCGGGAACCAGGAACTGAAACCACGACAGGGCAATGGACAAGGGAACTTCAGGGGTTTAAATATCCCTTGTTGTGCTGTGATTGGTCAGAGCTTGGTCTCGTGCTTGTGCATGTTCGCGTGACCCTTGGAGGTGAAGCTACAAATGGCCACAACCTCATGGTTGGTGCCATTTTGTTTGCCACTTGTGGAGGGGACGGACGCCCAAGCAGGAAGGCTCCTGGCTCACTGCTGAACAGGTAAGTTCACTAACCTGATAGCATGGTCGCACCGATCGGGTGCGACCACGTGCAGCTGCGGGCCGGGGGCCGTGACAGAGAAGCTCCAAGCGTAAAAAAAAAGGACTTTCACATGTGATACTAAGGTATAAGTATATCGGCTATTCCAGTCGCCTAAGAATTAGTCAGCTGTAGCTATGGGGATACATGGTGGTGGTAGTCGTCTGGTAGAAACACACATTGTTATATAGGAAAGGGCTGTCATCAGTCAGCAGAGTGTTGGGAAGAAATACACTCTTAATATTAAACTCTACATCATCTAGCAGAGCCAGAAATAATAAAATAGTAAATTAATAAAATAGTAATAATAAAAACAAATAAAGACCACCTAGTAAATAGAACAAATAGTAATATGGCAGAACTGTATGCACTCATAACAAGCATGCAGTTCAAATCAAAGAGAGCAGCTTCTCTGTTCAGGTTGGTGCATTGCTAGATGTCGAAGCCGCAGCTCCTGGTACAAACGCGGTTATCCGGTCCACTGACCACATCTGTCGGAATGCTGGAGATAGGGTTCCGTCTGGTAGTCCCAGTTCACGGAGTAAGGAAGGTGCTTCTGAGAGGTGAGTGAGGGAGTGGGTCTTGCCACCCTTTTCTAAGAGAAGCCTGTGCATCCCCCATTTGTAGTATGGGAGTAACTGGGTAAGTTGCAGGAGTGACTGTCACCTAAGAATGGTGTGTTGGACAAGTCCCGCTTGTGATCCTCAAAACTCATGGTAGCCAAAATGATTGAGCATGTCAGCATTGCTCTTTTGCACTGTATGTAGGGCCCAATCTGTGGCCGACTGTGCCACCTTCACAGTCCCCATGTCATCGTCAGTGATGGCAATCTTGTTGGTAAGTGTGGCCTCCTCTTCCCTCACCACTGCCACATCAGCTTGGAACATTGCCCCAATTTCCTGGAGTAGAGCTTTGATGTCTGATGGTAGAGCTTTGGGGTACCTTTGTGAAAGTGGATAGCTGTTCAGGTAAGCTTCCTCGTCTGAGGAAGCTGAGGTAGAGGCCTCTGCCGGTGCCATTTTAGCTGGTCCGGGCCTTGCATTTTGCAGGAATGAACCAATATCTAGGGACCCGGGGCTCGAATCGGCCCAATGTTTCTTGTTTCACTTCCCAATCTGCCTCTGGATGTTAGTGCGGCAGTGTATGCCCGTGAGACCGGTGTAGGCTGTCAGTAATAGCTGATTTCTGCAAGTGTTTATGGAGCTATTGCCTCCTGCGTCCGTCTTGTGAGGCTGCTGGCTCAGCTCCTCCCATTGGCTGAGTGTTTTACCGAGCAGTTTGACTCAGAACTGAGGGGAACCATGTCAGGGGCATGGTGGTACACTAACATCGACAGAAAGGTGCATTGCATATAGTGCTAGAGTGACTCATGTGACAGCTCAGTGCTTTGACCCTTCAATACCCATACTATGGTATTTTGGATTGCTCCTCACTTGGATCATAAATCTAACCCTAACTGCAAAAAAACCCAAAAAGAATTAAAAAAAATCACTCACACTGCAGAATTTGTTAGCAGTCTATACATGCCAGTATAATAATAACATTAATAATAATACTTGAGAAAAAATTGTGAAAAATAGCTGAGGCTTTCAAAAAATCAAGTTACTTATAGAGCTTAGAATGGTGGTTCCACAATGTGCAGTTTCCTGAATTAGTTATTTGCAGAGGACTTTGTGTTGTCGTGGCTATGAAAGGTAAAACAAATATATGGTCCAGGCACTCAAGGATCACTTGCGCAGCAGTTTATTGAAAAACAAGATAAGCATGCAACGTTTCTATCTCTACTGAAATCTTTTCAAGACTATGGAGGAAATAGAGTAGTCTTTAAATGAATGGGATTCTTATTCTGCACATTTTTGTTAAAGTAGAGGAGAGAACAAAATATTATAATACGTCTAGGCAATCGGCTGTTGCAGGGCTTTCAGGCAGGACAGAGAAGCAAAATTTTATACAACTGTATATTGAGGCCTGCCAGTTTAAATTCAAAGACATGATGATTGAATGTGCTTAACATGCTAAAATTCCTGCCCGGGTGAAGGTTATTAAGTAGCTTCAAAACAACAATAAGAAAAATCATCAGACAGGTGAGAATATAACTTTAGGATTTTCCACCCAGTTGATCCCTGTGCCAGCAAAATGACAGTCAGTGACTATGTGCCGTTAGAGTTGTATACTGATGCATGTATTATTGTGTTTCATTTTACTTTTAATTTATTTTCATTTTGTAATACATTTCAATACTGAGTACTTTGGACTTTTGAGGACTCTGTAACACCAAAAAGACTGTGTGGAACGTAAGAATATAATGAGGAGTCTCCGGTGGAAGGCATGTCAGAAGTACAAGTATCTGGTAGAATGCATGGTGAAGGAGGAACGCACGCAAAATGGAAACTACGTTCCAGAGAAAGAGGCCAGGAATTCAACCTAATTGAAACGAGCTAAAGATGTATGGAACCACTCGGCGCAGATTGGCTGGTGTCAGCCACGGGAGTGGTTACTTGATATTTAAAAAAAAGCGATATGGCAGACCAGAGTTTAGACTATTTCCCTTTATTGTTCTTTTACCTCTGAGGAAGTTCGGGCCAAACCAAACAAAATGCATAGGGTTAAGTTGGGCATTACATAGCAATTTTACTGTCTGTTTTTGTTTTTTGATTCAATAAATTTATATTTGGTCACATCTTAAAGTTGAAGAAAGTTTTATCCCAAACTACAGAAGACAAGACAATATCTCCAACATAACGTATGCAGCAAGTAAATCAGGGAATGTACCACAAAGCTTATGTAATGAGCATAGTGTGGAACGTATAGATGGAATAAAAAAATTGTAACGTATGTAGGCTGTTGTGGATTCCTATTTAAATAAGTAAAACAGTGTACTAAATGTAAATACTACAACCGGATTAGCCTTATTGTTATTGCTATTCCAACTCAATCCCCTCGGCAGGGTTATTGGCCTCCCGAAGTGCTGACCGGCCTTCCTCCTAACAGGCACACTGTAATAGTCTACATCAGTGTGGGCAGCCAATTACAATCTCTGGTAGGCGGGGTACAGACGCCTGGATACACAACACTTCTCCCTGTTGATGGGACGGAATTTAATTGGAGCTTGTACGAGCACTGATCTTGTCATTAGACACCCCTATTTAAACCTGGTAGTTCAATATATCGGTTCACCTTGAAGAGCCGATTGTGGCGAAACACACATTGGGACCTGAATGACCATTTGTTTCTGTGGGAGATTTATTGGATACGAGGGCTAACTCTATGACCGTTTCTATGTTTTCACTGACCTATTGTAACGAGAATATACCCCTACACGCAGGATCCAGCTAAACAGAGGCAAATACAGAGGAGAGATACGTCTACCGGACCTTAGAATGGCCGGACTCGACGTATATGAGAGGAGACAGAGCCAGGAACAAACCGAGGTCAAGGGCACAGAGAGACAGCGTAAACTAGGACAAGCCGGGGTCTGGTACACGGAAAACAGCAAGCCGGCAAACAGTACAGATAAGGATAAAGCGAAAACGAAGTCAGAATACGAAGCCAAAGTCAATACGAGAAAACACAACTGAACACCACAAGCGCTAAAGGGAACTGAAACAGAAACCACGATAGGGCAACGAGCTAAGGGAAAAAGGTAAGTTAAATAGCTTTTAAACCAAAGTGATTGGCTCTTGTCACTTCCACACCCCCTATAGGTAATTGTATAGGGAGTGTGGTATGACAGGAGCCAATGGGAGCCTTTTGGCAATTAGGCTCCCACTGTCTCTTTAAGAGCGCGCCCGAGACTCGCGGCGCGCTCTTAGTTTCAGGCGGGACACGTGACCGCTTCACGCGGTCACTGCCCGCCTTCCATCCAAAGCAGTAGGATGAGCCGCGCGCGGCTCGTGCAGCCGCAGGACCGCGCGCGGCTTGAAGAGAGGACCGCGACCGGCCCCCGGTTAAGGTAAGTAACGCTACACCTATCACCCAAAGCATCAGTTTTTTAGTTATTCTTCAATCAGACTACTTTACTTTATGAGGGCCCAGGAAGGCACAGGATAGATTTAGTATTATGTATATTGTTTCCCCCCTTCCCACCTTTGCCTTTTGTTGCAAATTGTATGTTTTTAGTTCTAATGCTAAGACATTTCTTTCTCCTGTCTCTGATATGTAGTGATACGTTTTATGGATTTACCATCTGAGTGATTTGATGTCAAGGAGAAAACACTCTTGTGACCCTTTACCTAAACCTTTGCTTTATTTATTTTTCATAGACAGAACAATTCGATTGTACCACCATTCGAGTTTTTTATATATAATGTATAGATAATAATGTTTTTATATAATTTTGATTTAAAGGCTATATTGATCTTAATATATCACATATTATGATAAGTAGATTGAAGACTGCAGAAATTCCACACACCACAGATCAATTATACAATGTTTATGTTCCACTAGACTTAATGGGTGACTTTATTGATTTTAATTGGTTTAATAAATGTTATGTTTTATATTTTATGGGCTGGTATCATATAATCATGGGCCGAACAAAGGCCGAGTTTAAAGGAAGCCAGTATGAATTGAACTCAATGTCTCATCTGAGATTATGACTGTATGTATGGAGGTCAAATAAGGGCCAGCTTTCATTTAATTATTTGCGAAAAAGGCCAAATGAGGGCCAAACATAAATGCACAAATAAATTTGGCATGTGGCTAAAACGTGAGCCAAATGCTTACCTAAAAGTACCAACAGTAAGGCTGAACAAGGCCAATGTAATGATGGCTATACCTATAGGTGTATGGTCAAAATGAGGTTGAGTAAGAATGATACATGAAGACTTAATTATATGCTGAATATATAGTATATGAAACGAATTGCCAAATGGCCTAATAAGCTTAATATTAAAATGTACTTCATTGCCGACCAATGGCCCAATGTATCAGTTTCACATGTGCTATGGTCAATGAGGCCAAATGTGTAATGCGGTTAGTATACAAAGGGCTCCAAATATGGCCAAATACTATTGTGCATACTTGAAATTATAGCCAA